CTGTCGACGAAGATGGTCCACTTGTGCTCTTTCCCTGCGGGGGGGGGGGGGGGGGGGGGGGGGGGGGTGTGAGCGGTCATTTTCGCGACGAAGTCGGCCAGAGTTTGTGCCTTTAGGGCTTTCCTGCTCTCGTATTGAATGTCAAACTCAGAGAGTTCCAAGGACCACTTCAACAGTCGGCCCGCCATGTCAGGTCGACCTAAGAGCTGTTTCACTGGTTGGTCGGTTCGTACTATGATCGTGTGAGCCAGGAAATAGTGTCTGAGTCTCCTCGCCGCGTTGACGAGGGCTAAAGCCACTTTCTCTATCTGTTGGTATCTGCCCTCGGGCCCTTGTAGCGCTTTTCTCGTGAAATAAATGGGCTTTTGTCCGTCGGTGGTCTCGCGGATGAGGGCCGCGCTGATGGCTTCGTTTGAGACGACCAGGTATAAGAACAAAGGTTCCCTGTTGACTGGTCGAGACAGTACGGGCGATTGGGATAGGCTTTGTTTTAGGTGGCGCAACGCCTGTTCACATTCCTCGGTCCATTCGAAGGCTGCCTCTTTACGAAGGAGCTTGAAGAATGGGAGGGCGTGCTGAGCGGATCTCGCGACGAAGCGGGACAACGAGGTGAGCATGCCATTCATGACTTGTATGGATTTTTTCGACGTAGGTGTCGGGAGGTCGGAGAAGGCTAGACACTTGTCGGGATTGGCTTCAATTCCTCGTTTTGTTAGGTAAAAACCGAGGAATTTCCCTGCCTTGACCTTGAATGTGCACTTCTCGGGATTGAATCTCATCTTATATTGTCTTGCTTGAGCAAAGACTGCTTTGAGGTGGGCTGCATGGTTGGTGTCTGCTCGAGATTTGACGATCATGTCGTCCATATACACCTCGAGCATGTCCCCGATTTGGTTGTGGAACACTTTGTTCATTATACGTTGGTATGTCGCCCATGCGTTCTTCAGACCAAAGGGCATTACGTTGTAGTAATAGTTGCCTGAGCTGGTCATGAAAGCAGTGCAATGCTTGTCGCTTACGGCCATTGGGATTTGGTTGTAGCCTGAATATGCATCCATGAACGAAGGTATTGTAACCGGCCGAGTTGTCGACCAGCATGTCTATGTTTGGTAAAGGAAAAGCATCTTTCGGGCATGCCCGATTGAGATCAGTATAATCAACACACATTCGCCATTTTCCATTATTCTTTTTTACTAGTACAACATTTGACAGCCAGGTTGAATACCGGGCTTCAGAAATAAAATTTGCCTCTAAGAGGTCTTTTACAGCTTTTTCAGCAGCCTCCGTTTTCTCCGGAGACTGCCTACGTCTACGTTGTACTACTGCCCTAGCGGCTGGATCTATGGCGAGACGGTGACAGGCGACCTCGGGGTCAAGTCCGGGCATCTCTGCAGCGCTCCACGCGAATAAGTCAGTATTCTCGCGTAAGCAGGCTTTGATATGCTTCCTCGCCAGGTCGGGGAGGCCGGTTCCGATCTTCACTCCTTTGCTCGCGTCCTCGCCGAGAGGGACGAGCTCGAAGTCTCCGTCAAGAATTGGTCGGAGGGGGACTTTCTCACCGCTGGGAGGCTCATCCTGGTCGAAGTGGGTGTCCAGGGCTATGGGGTCGACCTTTGGGGGAGCTCTCTGCTCTTCTGCCTTGACGGGCTCTGTCTTCTCGGGCTCTGGTCGTGTCGTTGTTGGTCTCTTGGCGGGTCTTGTCCCAGTGTCGACCGTGTCGCTCCCCTTGGATGCCGCGTTGAAACACCTTCGAGCAGCGGTCAGGTCCCCTTGGATGGTGGCGACCCGTGCCCTCTTAGTGTAAAACTTCATCTTCAAGTGGACGGTAGAGGGTACCGCGGTCAGTTCTGCCAATGTTGGTCTTCTCAGAATGCAGTTGTAGAGGGACGGGCAGTCAATGACGAGGAAGCGCACCTTGACCTGCCTCGTCGTCATGTCCTCGCCAAAGGTAACCATGAGCTCGACGTATCCCCAAGGTTTGGAGGTCGAGCCATTGAAGCCCTGCAGGTATGACCCCACATAAGGCGAGAGGTGCGAGTCGTCGAGCTGCAGGGTCCGGAATAGCTGGTTGTACATTACGTCGACGGAACTTCCTTCATCGACGAGGACGCGATGTACGTCAAAGTTAGCCATTCTCGCTCTTATTAGCAGGGGAATGACTGTGTTGGGGGGCCCACCGGGGAGTTCTTCGAGGTAAAAGGTGATAGGCTCCAACCTGCCTTTCACCTTTTCAAAGGTCACCGTCTGAGGAGGTGCAGAGTCGACTAGTTCATCCAGCTTCCTCTTGGCCGAATTTATGGTTAGGTCGTTGAATCCTCCACCATTGATGACCATGGCGGAGGGAAAGTGCTCCCACCTGTTGTGCGTTGACAATGGCTCTTGCAAGTGCTCGGGGACGTATAAGTCCTCAGGTCTTATGACGGAGAAGGCGGTCTGGATGGGGACCGACTCGTTAAATGGTCGGGCATTCTCCTCTGATTCTCTTGTCTCACGGGAGTCGCGACGAGGAGTGTCGTTTCGCTGGTATTGGGCAAGTCTCCCCCCTTTTATGAGGGTCTCGATGGCGTCCTTGAGGTGGACGCAGTCCTCCGTCAAATGACCATGACTCCTATGGTACTGACAGTATTTGCTCCTGTCTACCCCGGGCTTGGCAGGAGCTGGTCGGGGGCGCTTGATGTCGCCGTCTTTGAAATTTGTACTGGCACACTCCGCCAAGATGCGCTCGCGGGAAGCCGTGAGCGGAGTGTACTCCGTGAAACGCCCTGAGGGTCCTCTCTGTTCTCGGACTTCTCGGGGTTTGTCGTCTTTTCTTTTCTCACCGGCCCGTCGAGGAGGAACGGCCTCTTGGCGCGGGTTGCTGCTGGATCCGCGAGTTCGGGGGTCACGGGCTCTGTTGGCCGCTTCCCTTTCCTCGTAGTCCATATAGGCCTTGGCCTTCTCGAGGAGAGCATCGAACGTTCGGGGTGGTTCGATGCCCACTGCTTTTCTGAACTCTGCAGGGGAGGAGTCCCCTCTCCAGCAAGTATCTTTTCGTGTGGTCCGCACAGGGGACCTGGATGGCTTCACGGTTGAAGCAGTTGATGAATTCTCTCAAGGTTTCATCCTGCCTCTGGACGATAGCCCCGAGCGTCGCTTCGGTCTTTAGATGTCGCCGTGACGCGGTGAACGAGCTTATGAATTGGTTTTTCAAGTTTCTCCACGAGGTGATTGACCCCGGGACAAGACCCTTGTACCAATCCATTGCTGCTTTTCTGAGGGTTGTGGGGAACAACCGGCATTTAATGGGTCCCCCAACGTTATGGTAGTGCAGCATAGCTTCGAACCCGTCTATATGATCGACCGGGTCGGCGACTCCGTCGTATTCCTTCAGGTGAGGGGGCTTCTCCATGCCCGGGGGGATTGGTGTCTCCATGATGGCTTGTGATAGGGGACCGCGGGGGTCATCCTCATCACTTCGCTTTGGGGAAAGGGACGGGGACCTGAGGTATTGTCGGGCACGACGATCCTGATCGTGTAAGACGTCCCTCGAGCGGTGCGCTCGTTGATTCGTCCTTCTGTGTCTGTCCCCGGGCTGTCTTCGTTCTCGCCGTAAAGGGTCGTGGTTGCGCCCTCCAGCTTCAATGATTGGCTCCCTCTCCAAGGGGGGTCGTCTCCCCGGTTGTCGGGGTGACGGGCTTAGGAAGGTGTCTCTGTATTGTCTCCGCGGGGGAGATGGGAGACGTACCTCTGTTCTTCGAGGAGGCGGGGACTGAGGCCTCCTGTGTCTCCTCGGGGGTCTTCTGTCGTCCTCTAGCGCCCTCAATCTTTCCCCCTGGGCAAAGATGAGGTAGTTGGTCTGGTTGATTGCCGCGAACAGTGCTCCGGTCGTGGCGTCTGCCCCAACGGGGACAGGGACCTTCTGGAATTGGGCGGCTAGATAGTTTGGGGGAGTTGTATTGTCTTCTTCGAGCGGAGGGGGGACTAAAGAAGATGAGCTCGTGGCTCCGTCCCGGTGGCCTGAGGGCCCGGGGGTGACGCCCCCGGGGAGTGTAGTATGGTCGGGGTTGTCGGCGTTGTCGGGGACTCCGTTCTTGTCCGCGAGGTTGTTGTTGGCATCGACGATGCGGACGTTCTGGTCGTCCCGAGTTTGGTCAGCCATGACGGTGGAAGATGGTTTTTAGCTTTGGTCTTTGAGAGTTTGTAAGACGGGAAAGCTAGTTTCCCACAGACGGCGCCACTGATCTTATCGGATCAGACTTGGACCGTCACAGCTGGCTTGAACTGGATTTAAGTGAGGTGGGGGTACCTGCAAGATACTCCAATGCTAAAATGAGAGACGGAATGGGCAGGCAAAAAGTATATAGGCGTGTAATAGATGAATATCTGACCCTCTTGGAACAGAGGATATTTATAACCCCCAGCGCTGGGTCAAGGTCCCCTCATTGGGCCGATCAAAACTGGCCCAATAAAGGAACTGCCAGGTTCTACGTGTGTAGTAGGGACCCGCACGTGGTCCCCTTCCTGGGTGGTGCTCTGCGAAGAATGAGGAAGACTCGGTCTTTTCAGGGCTTTAAGAATCCCATGGCGTTCGGAGGGGACAAAATCTGCTCTACGGGGAGGATGCTCGAGGAAGACTCGAGCCAGAGTGTCCTTTGGTCGGGGACGCTACTCGTCGCGGGTAACAGCGGACGTCGCCGCTATGGTCTACGGTCGAGCACGCTCGGGACAATCTGATCGTGAGCACTCCTCAAGGAACTTCCTGGATCTGGGCCTTTATCTGTACTTTGGGCCACGGCGGGCCCAATCGAGAAATAAAAGCTATCCTAACAATTAGGAGGAATTAGCTATAGGGAAATCATACAATTATTTGGCAACAGTATTTTAGTGACCATAGCATGCATTTCCTAATAACCGTTAACATGCATTATTATGAAAACTGCAAAAAAAATTACATAATTATTCCATCTTTCAACTTGTAATTGCGCCACTTATATTGTCTGCTCCATATGAAGCCTTTTCTATCAAAAACTACTTAATGATGGCAAATCTAGTGAAGCTTTTGCAATGGACTTGTATTCTTCAAGTTTCTCCATTTCCACTGACCCAAGTTTCTGTTACGAATAAAAGCCTGTGAATATTTTTTTTCTTTCAAACTCTGAAAATTAGTATCCTGGTTAGATACTTCCTTCAAAATATCATTACCTTGTTATCCCATGCTCTTATGTAGCCAACAAGACAGATTTGTATCTGCTGCTCAGATTTAATGTCGGTGTTTGCATCAATAAACCAAACACTCTGCAAAATTAGTCCACATAATGTACATTAGTTACTTAATATTAACTTGACACACTTATGGTTTATCATGTAAATTGCTCACTTTAGATATTATGCATCATCAAAGAATCAAAGAAGAAATGGTTGAGATATATAATTGAGAACTCACTACTTTTTTGTTTGAAACACTTGACAAGTCCAAACTAATGCTAACCAATGTCTTGAAGTTCGTATCTGTATCAACTTTGGCCCAACCGAAGTAAATCCCAATAACTTGATCAGGAATACCGAATGTTATATTCTCTGGATTAAGGAATTCAACTATGTTAGAATGAATACCATGTTAAACTTTAAAAAACAAAATGAAACTTAAAGAGAAGAAATGCAGTGTTTTAGAAACAGAACAGAACAGTTCAACCGATTGAACCTTGAACAAAAGGTTATTACGGATAGGTTAATCTGGTATTTCGATTGTAGTTTCTTCCTGGTTTAAGTGGCTTGAGAGAGTCAAACTGTGGCTCAGAGATTTCTCAGGTTCGGTTTTTAAAACATGGCTATGTCAGCCACTTTGCGTATGTGAAAACTAATCGATAAAGGACTAAAATTTTCTGTTTATGTAACTAAGTTTATGAGTGAAATGAGAAAAAGTTAGGAGTTTCAAAACCTTTGGTTTCAAGGAGAGATCCTGTAACATACAAACCGCTGAGATGAATTGGCTCAATAGGCAATGTGCTATCAACCCCTGCCATTGTTAACTTGAAAAATTACTAAGATAAGAGTATGCAATATTAATTATTGAAATTCATCAAACTATTTAAGAATTAATAGGGTATTACAATCATCAAAAGGTGGAAGGCCCCATTGCTCAGGTTGAAACTCTAAAAGTGAATTAAGAGTAACATTTGCCAGCTTACAACAATCCGATTCGCCGCGAGATGGTACTGCGACTATCTTCATTTTTGCAGCGTGAGCTGCTTTGACACCAACCCTGTTAAAGGACATTGCAGAACATATATGTCACAAAAATATGATTATTACATGAGAGAAATCCAAGTGGCTGCAGAATACGAAATGAGTAATTCTGAGTGCTCCAGAGATTCTGGAAGACTTACAAGGAATCTTCAAACACAAGGCAGTTCGTTGCATTTACGCCCATTCTCTTGGCAGCTTCTTCAAACCTGCAACAATTAGACTTGGTTACTTGGTTACAAATGTGATGAAACTGGAAGACTGTAAATTATAATTCACTCAGAAATGGACTTTTCTACTAAACAATAGACAGAGAAAAATAGAGAAACTTTGGGAGATCTTGAGGAAAAGCTATATTTTCCATTATTTAGTTATAATCATGAGATTTTAAATTGCGGTCGCGGTTGCCGTTAATTTATTAGGCATCTTACAATTCACATTTCTCCTTGGATGTTGCGACGTCAAACTTTCTATGATTTACAATCAAAATGCAATTGCAGGCTAATGCGGTTGCAGACACTGCCGTTATCATAGTATAGAAGTTGCATCTTGTGATGCATCCGCATATTTAAAACACTTCCCGGGATAGGGAATGGAATCTTACAAATCAGGAGCAGGCTTCCCAAATTTAACCTGGTCATTTCCTAGAATTACAGAGAAGCTTTCTGTCCAACCTACAAAAATCAATTTTATCAACTATCAAATATATAATTTTAAGTAGGAAAAGAAACTACATATCAAGTGTCTCAACTTATTAAACTTAAGTTGAAATTATCCTAATCACCAAGTACATGTTTTTATTCGCAGTGTTTGATAAAATCACGACGAGTTACAGAAACTCATACATGAAAAAGAAATACAAATAGGTAAAGTACCTTCATGGTAAGGAATCTTTGCATATATGTATTCCCTCAAAGAGTTTGAAGCAAGAGCCATCGGAACACCATTTTTCAGGAAATGTTTGATGATTCGGTTAGCACCAGGCAATGCTTTGGCTTCTCTCCACCTAAATCAATTCATGAATTGAAAAACAAGAAACCTTGAATGTGTAAGCAATTAATCACAATTTATACTGAATAACAGAAATAGAAGCAAACAGACAACAAATTGCGTCGCTACCCGTAAACCCTAAACCCTAACTAGAAATATAAAGTGATACCTTTGAATATAGAGAGGGTTAATTTCTTTTATAAACTGTTCAGGAGTTAATGAGAGTTGATAATCCTTAACAATTAAAGCTGCTGATTCCTTCTGAGTCATTCCTAACCTTTTCTTTTCTTCCCTTTCCTTATTCACTTCCTTCCCATACTTTCCCAACAACTCATTCAACACACCCCTTGTAGCCCTTTCTACACACACCAACCATCAACACAAATTCAATATCCATAAAAAAAATCAACAAAGTTTCACCAACAAAAGTGAAATAGAAATACAAATAAAAATACCAGTATCAAGAAGTGTGCCATCTAGGTCAAAAATGACAGCCAGAATATTGGGTTGATTGCTGCAGCCATTGATCTTGCAACAGTTGCTCATGGCAGTATCAAAGATGAGACTGGAATTGTTGGATTAGAAGTTTAAGGAATAATGTGTGATGACATGAAGCGTAAAAAATTGGGAGTGATAGTTGATTTGATATAGCGTTGGCTTGGCGTTATAAAGCAGCATGTTCTTGCGGATATTCCATGGAAGAGAAAGAGTTTGAAGCGTTAGGGTTTGTTTCATTGAGTTTGTTTAACTGTTTTATAAAATGATTTTTAAAAACTGTTTTTGAAATAATGATAATTCTATTTTTAGAAACTACTACTTCAAAATGATAAAAAGAAAAATTTTGTTTGGTAAATTTGATTTTATAGTATGATGTCTTCATTGAATATTATTTCTAACATAGTTAATCATAAACTCATTTAGTATAAATACTTTTTTTTTTCTCTTATTCAATTATAAGTAATCATTATTATATTTTAAATAAATTTTATAATATATTAACATTAATTTTAAATGAAGAAAAAGTATTGTTTTGGATTAGGCCTGCGCTTAGTCTGTCAGCCCAATACTGTAAGAGGTCCAATAACTTGTGGTGGACTAGACCTGCACTTGGTCTTCTGTCGGGCAAGTCTAGCCCGGTACTACTGTGAGGAGGGTCTATTTCAGCGGCCCGGCTAGCTATGATCACTAGGGAACGTCTCCCCCACGCATGTACGTCGGGACGTCTCCTCCACATATGTGTCGGGCACATCTCCTTCACGGGCACGTCGAGAACATCTCCTCCACGTATCCACCGAGGGAACGTGGCCAACAGTCCTCCGAATATCACGGAGTCATCCTACATCTGAATATCACGGAGTCACCCTGCTCCTGAAAAGAATGGGTCTTTACCTCCAAGAATCATGGGGCAGTTGAACCAGGATAGAGACCACGAACTAGTATCCTCTATCCTCGTAGGATCCTGACAGTCTCTATTATGGGTCTGGGCATCCAACCCAAATGGAGACTTTGTCCCAGCGTTGGGGGTTATAAATACCTTTTTTCACTAGAGGGTCTCGTACACTTTTTATACTTACTTACTCTCTATATTTGCACTCTCACTCTAAACCTCACTTTGACATCAGAGTGTCTTGCAGGTACATCTTTTCCCTCATTCACTTCAACAACTGCAGCAGTTCAAGTGTTGCAGGCCACTGAAGATCCATTATGGTCAGGTACGATCAATGGTTTCGTCTGTGGGGACAACTTGCTTCTCCGTCTTCTTCTAACTCAAGACCAAAGCAAACTCTTTCAACCTTATGATCATCATGGCCAGCCAACACAACAACGACGTCCATGACGAGAACAACAACAACAATGAAACAGGTGGCCACGAGAAGGGTGATCCCAGGGACGGATGAATCGCTCCCTCCTCGACTAGGGAGCATCCCCTTGACACGCATCAGCAGGTCGACCAGCCTGGAGAGTACCGAGAAATCCTTGTGCCCGCCAATGTTGATCCCATCCCGACCATCAATAAGACCAATTATATGATCTCTCGGCAAAACGACTGCATCAGAGCACTAAAGAAGGGTCGACGATCTCACAGTCCAACTCCACGACGATGAAATGCACGTTCTTGTTCTCCCCCGCAGAGACTCCAACGGGACAAATCTCATAGCCTCTCTCCTCGACGAACTGGGAGGAGCCCGTGGCTAGAGAGACCACAACCTAAAGTCGACAAGATGCGCGATTGAACTCCACCACGTAAAGAGTGAAGATCCCCTATTTCCAAAAGGAACAAGGTTGGCAAGTGTAACGCCTGTTAATTTAATTAATTATTTAATTAAATTATTTTCGAATTATTCGTTGAAGTTGTGAGATATTGTGACTTATTGGTATAAGTTGCTAGATTATTACTTGTTAATTAATTAGTTGATTAATAGTAGTAATAATACTAGAATTAGTAGAATAATAGAATAATTATGTTGGGCCTAATTTTAATGGTTGGAAGTAGAAATATAGGGGGTGTGTTGTTAAGCCCATTAAGAATAATAATATTGTGAGGTTCTATTTAAATGAAGAATAGGGTTAATTGAGGAGTTGTTGGAAAATTGGTTGTGAGAAGTTGTAGAGAAGAGGAATAAGGAGAAGATGCAAAGAGAGGTTCCGGTCGGAGAGCTATCGAGCGAACTTCAATCCAAGGTAAGGGTGGGGTTCTAACCTTATAATGGGGTTTATGATAAATACTATGTAGGGGTTTGATCGTGGGTATAATTGTTGTGCGTTGATTTTCTGAGTCTGTTCTTGAAAGTTACCCGTTTTTATGTTGTGGTCGTCTAGGAATTTTATGCATGACTGTCTTGTACGATTAGTGAATCTGTTAATAGGAGATATAGTTTCCCCGTTTCTATGTTATTCCATGTGGTTGGTTGGAAATTAATGGTCGAAGAGAATACTATAAGGTTGGGTTAACGTTCATCACAGACTAGATGAATTCCGGGTAAAAAAAAAGTGAAGACGCGTCGTGTTGGGGGGCACAGGTATTTGTGTCGAGCGGCATAAGGCTGCAAGATATGCCGAGGAGTAAGGTGCTAGGTGTCGAGCGGTACAAGGCTCCAAGGTGCGCCGAGAGGAACAAGTGGTTGTGTCGAGCGACACAAGGTTGCACGATGTACCGAGAAGTATGATGTGTCGGCCGATACAGAGGCATGAGGGGAAGGTATCGAGCGGTGTGGCTACTGTATCAAGGGGCACACGTCGTTATTAATGTCCCTTCTGTTATTCATGTGCACGCTGAAGGGCACACATTCCTTTCTTATTCCTTAGTGCTCCTGTGCAGCCTAATTAGTGATTCAATTTAGTTTAATAATCTCAATATAATAATTAGAATTCTTAAGGTATTTTATCCCCAAACGATTAATGAATTCTAGTAAATATAAGTTAGTGGTAAGAGAGTTAATGTAATTAATAATTGACTAGCAGTAAACTGTATGAACTTGGAGATAGTAGTACAGAACCGAAAACATTAGTATTTTAGCAGAAAACTACTTAGCCGAATATAGTCGAATTACCCAAATAATTACGCAGGGCGTCGTAGTATATTTTGGTTAATACAGTGTATTATATACTTTGTTATAATTTTGAGATTTGGCATGTGATGATGAATTTTGTTAAGATGCCTCTAATTATTGGCAGATATTAAGTTGTAGGCTTATGGTCAATGTTAAATTGTGTTGAGTTGTTGTTGAATTATTATTGTTGTTGTTACTACATTCATATTATTCTCACATACATAGTGTGATCGGTGGATCTGGAACTGACTGTTTAACGCTGGTTCGCGAAATGTCGCGGAAGCAAGAGTCGCCACCGTCTTTTATTTTCTCCAAATGGAAAGGACAAAAGCACAAAAAAATTCCTTAAAGAGATTGCTCTCGGTTCGGGAGGTAGATTATAGAAAGGGAAGGTGTTAGCACCCTTTCTATCCATGGTTATCCATGGGCTCTTAGATACTTGCTCATTTGTGTTTTCAAAATGGTTTGTTTGCTTTTCAATGTGGGTTTTAAAAAGTTTCTTTGAAAATTCCAGTTCGACTCTTGTATCGGTCCTCAAGAGTGTTTGAAAAATTGCTTTCGAAAGCTTTTTGAAAAGGTGTCGGTGTGAAAAGTATTTTTGAATTTGTTTTGAAATTAGAGCAAGTATCAAGAGTCGTCTACCTACCCTAAGGAATTCGTCTGTGTAAATGTCCTTTATAGTAGTGTCATCCCACCATTGAGAGATAGGTAGCACCACCGTTGGAGGTGTTCGGGTCAATTCGAGGTTCGGGACATGGTGATCACCAGAGCAATAGGAAGACACCTTAGAAGCTACCCTCATGCCAGGTTCCCGGATCATGAGGACTTACTAAGACATCCTCTACTCGACGATCACCTTTCGAGGCAAGGCAACAGTGAGGCGTACCCTAGGGGTGGTGTGTGATTTGTGTGTCATGTTCAGTTATTTTGTCTTGTTCATGTCAAAGTGATCTATGCGTTTGTTTTTATTTTTGGCCATTCATTCTTGCATGCATTTATTAACAGTTAAAAAAGATGCAGAAATTAAAAATTCTAAACTATTACAAAGGCGCGGGTCCACATCGCCAAATTAAACCAGGACCCGATTTGACAGAAAAATAAATAAAGTGCGAGAAATAAAATGTCCGAGTTTACAAGGCTTTGGGAGAATTACATTAATATTTACAAGAAATAATAAGAATAAATGTGCGAAAGAAACTAAAGTTGAACGTTCGAGGGCGTTGGACCCTTTTGAAGTTAAATTGAAATTAAAAATTAATTAATTATTTATTGAAATAAAAGAAGTGTTTTTTAGGTTTTTTTGTATTTATGAAATAAGAAAATTAAAATTAAAATTAAAAGAAACCCTAATTCTAAGTTATTTTTAATTATTTGAGAAAAATGTTAAAGTTTAACTTAATTTACTAAAGAATTTATGTACATGTTTATTTACAAAATAAATTAGTAATTAATAATAATAATAATGATGAGAAAATTATTTTAAAAAAAATGATGAAAAAGTTAAAAACCCTAATTTCTACATATTTAATTTATTAAGAAAAATATTAAAGTTTTGAAACCTAAATTAATCTAATTAATTGTTTAAAGTTTATTTACAAAAATAATAATAGTGAAATTAATATTAATAAAATAAACATTTTTTGATTTTTCTGTATTTTATATTTATTATGAAAATTATTTTATGGAATTAAAAGAAAACAATTAAAAAACAATTAAAAGAATAAAAAGGAAAAAACAAATAAAAATTAAAAATTGAGCAAACCATAGGGGGTGTCTGGCCCAAGGGGAGGTTTTTTTGAAGTATTGACTCCTGAGTACCGTGGTCTGCATTCTTTGGCCATTGGATTGAGTTTCATGCATAAGTTGTTCTACTTTGGCCATTTGGCTTTTGGCTTTTGGCTTTTGGCCATTTGTGTTCTGGCCTCAACGTTCCTTAATCTTCTCAGGATGTCTGTCTCGCCACGTATTGGTGTCATGCATAAGTTTTTCTACTTT